TTCAAATTAAGGCATCGTCTAATGATTAGCAAAAATTTGAACATCCTTTTTTGATTAACAAATGAGATACAAAACTAAAAGTTCTTCAAAACGTAAACAAGGTTCGCGCCCCGTTATTGTTTACATATTGGAAATGTCATGTTAATAACAAAATGAAATTCATTAAATTACTAGAAACTGTCTGAAAGTATTTATAATTGACCTCTTTATTGAAATTATCTACTTTAAACAAGTATATTTTAGTATTTTAATCCATGTAATCAAAACATGACACAGGCCCTGTTTACATAACATATTTTTGGAGCTCTAAATCTTGTATTTTTACAACTGATTTTTAAAATTTAATGATCACTAAAATTACCTTATTCAAATAATCATAAAAATTATGAGAGATAATTTTTTTAATTTTTTTTCCCTGAAACTGTGTCTATGCCCATTTAAACTAGAAATGTTTAAAAGCAAGCAGTGCATCCATAATATACTAGGTTTTTTGTTTAACTTTACGATTTTATTGGTAACCTTTGTTATATAAAATTGATTTTTGTTTGATTTTGTTTTGTTGATTGTTTTTTTTTTTTTTTTGCAAATCATATATTATATATATGATATCCTAAAATGATGAAAAACAAATCTGTATTACATTTATTTTTGGCATAAAAAAAATTGGTATATTAATTGTTAGAAATTAATTGGTCTTTCAAAGAACACGCACTTAAACGCACGTACAAGTACACCATGTTTTTACGTTGATTTTTGTTTCCGTTAAACAAAGCAACTATATAGTTTTCACAACAAGGCCAGTTTTTATAAATTATGCTCTTGATTCTTTTATTTTTAATTAAACGCAGTGCTTGAAGATTGAACATCATCTGCCTTAACTGAATTTAAACTAAAGCTTAAAAAATTAAGAGGAAGCAGATGAATTTATGATTTTTTTCTCGCAAATAAAATGTTAAAGTCGGTTAATCATATCATTTGTAAAAAAAATGACAGAAATAAAGGAATATCAAAATTTATTAGATTACTGATTACTTATCAGCATCGCAAATACAATTCACAGCAAGTAAAGCATTTTTAACACACTTGCTAGATCAAAACTGTAATAAAATGCAAAGTCCAAACAGTGCAAAACTGATAACAAAAACTATCAAATTCAATTGCCATATATGTATTAAAAGAAACATAAATTGATATTCATAGTTCTTCAATTCTGAAAATAATTCAGCCACTTTTATGTGTGTCTGTGTTCTCAACTAAATTCTATGTCTTTGTCGGGAATTTTAATTGTTATTTAAATATCTTCTACATAGTTGAAATGAACTCCACTTTCGTTGGTTAAGTATATACACATATTTGTGAATTTGAAGTTTCCAAGGGTTTCGCTTGAATATTTTACCCATCGCATAGATTTGCCGTACTGACAATAGATTTGAATGTCAGTATTCAACAAAGCTGCTGTCGCTAGAATTTCGGCTTCTGTTGCCCATGTTCCGTTTATAATCATGTTAGAGCAGTCAATATAGCGGGTACCAAAGTGCCGTTCCACTTTCTCCGAATTGGTTTTCATCCATTTCACGACAGAGTTTCGTATGGCTTTATGCTGGGCCTGGCATCCTGTAAGAGCATAACTAATACATCTGAAAAAACAGTTGCCGTCTCCTCTGACTTCCATAACTTTTAATGGACAGTGATTTGCTAAAGGTTTTTTTATTTTTCCACGGTGTCTTTTTCTCAAAGACACATTAACGTTATGCTTTGAAATTTGGTTTTCTTGCCAAGTAGCATCAACTGGAAAAAACGTATTTTTTAATTCAAAGCTTCCAGATACAAGTACCTCCTCCTCAACCCTTTTGCCATTCCCAGAAACATCATCAGCAGCAACATCAGCATCTGCTTCCTTGACACTTTCGTCATCCTTAGAAACCTCTTCGTCATCATCATCTGTTTTCTCCTCCTCTTCCTCCTCCTCATAGTCATCAACTCTTTCGTCATCCCTAGGAACCTCATCATCAAGACGAAGTTTTTCTTTTCTGTCAACACACTTCTTCAGAAGTTTCACATTGTAAGAACGCTTAATGAGAGAACCTTTAAGATTTCTCAATTTAACGCACCCTTTGCTTAGAACACTGGTAACAATGTACGGTCCTAACCATTTTTTTTCCTTTTTACCACCCTTTCTTGTTGATTTGTGGGTGTTAAATACAAATACCTTTGTTCCTTCATGGAATTGTCTGAGCGGTACTCGTTTGTCTTTGTAGTACTTTTTTTGCTTTGCTTGGGATAGTTCAACATTTTCTTTTATCTGTTCGTTAATGCTGTCTCTTGTGTTTTGGAGCTTTTCGATCACCTCTTCAAAAGCTGGTTCTGTATTATCCGTAGTATACTCGCTTTCAGATTGTTGTTCTCTTTGTGGAAACGCATTCCGTCCAAATATTGCCTCAAATGGCGAATATTTTGTCGTTTTGTGCTATAAACAATAAAATAAAATATGTAGATTAATTTGCTTTAATATTGTTAAAAAGCACAATTCCAAAGCTTAAATCAAAGTACTGAAAGTACTGACAGTTGGTAAAATTATTTAAACATTCTGAAAGTAAACAGTCTTCTAAAATTTGTCGCCCCCTAGGTTTAAGCCGAAATTACATTAAAAGCATATTTGACTTTGGAGTGCTTATAAGTGCAGCCGAACAAATTATAGGAAACCATTTTGTTCCATGTATTCTTTGATCTTCATCTATTCGAATGAGTTATATCACTAGTCTAGTAAAATTATAAACAAAATTTAAATGTAAATTTAAAATGATACCTTGGTTGATCTGTAGGCAAACAAAACATCATCAATATGTTCGTCCCAATCACACAGATCTGCGCTGCTTATTTTAACTAGCGACTCCTGCAGAGTCCTGTTGAATTTCTCAACTAAACCATTAGTCTGGGGATGGTAAGCCGACGACAATCTTTGTGATCCAGAGTACTGGTTGATTAGTTTTTGTAATGTTAGATTAACAAATTCTCTCCCCTGGTCACTAGAGTAGACTGTGGGAAACCCCATTCTTTTGCAAATCTTTAAGAGTTCAAATGCTATAGTTTCTGCTCGTTTATTTGAAATTGCGGCTGCTTCGGGCCATTTTGTAAAATAGTCCATTAATGTTAGGATGTAACAATTTCCGGATGACGACTTTGGCATGGTTATGAGGTCCATTCCTACGTGATACCAAGGTTTAACAATCGAAATGGGGAAAAGTTCTGCATCCGACTTTTTAAAAGCTCCTCCCTCTTGACATTTCAAGCATGAATTGACATATTCTTCAACGTCTCCTGACAAATTTTTCCAAAAGTACATCTCTGATATGGCCCACAGTGTTTTTTCCCGGCCAAAATGGCCGTTTTTGTCATGCTTGTCTTCCAAGATCCTTTTTCTCTCTGACAAATTAATGACCACTTGTCTTAACTCCCCCTTCTGGTTTTTCCAGTACAATATTTCATTTTTTATTTCGTATGCTTTACTCCTCGATCTGATTTTTCGTTTTGTGTCCTTACATACATTTGGAGGGTATACTTTACATTTTAGGTAATTGAAGACATTTGTCATGTCTTCGTCCATTTCTACTCCGTTGAGGGGGCATCCGAAAAACGTCCAAGGTTTCCTAGTCCATATAAACCATGTAGGAGTCGAAACTTTGACACACAGATAAAATATTCAGTTGGAATATATATTTGATCAATTGTGTAGTCTAAAAGTTTTTCTTCTACCTCACTGAACAAGTCAAGCAAAAAATCTGGGGCATCAACACATTCTACTGACCCTACCAATAACGTCTGTACAACATCGTGGAGTATAACACTAAAATGAATGTTAGTTTTCACTTTTCAGAATATCTTCAATTTCATACACACACTCCTTTATCTGTAACTTATACTGATCAGTTCCCGTAATGCGCAAAATATTATTCAATACTTGTATCAAGGCGTTACTTTTTGGGAGCAAACCTGTAATTTCTCGCTTTTGAATTATGTTGAAAAGCATGGTTTTATCAGAACTGGAAGTTTTCGTTTAAAAAGAAAACCAAAACCAAAATGCATAACAAAACGAATTCCGGAAAAACGCAATCCGGAATTATAAGGGGGGAAAGTCTATACTGGGGCGGTTTTTCCCCCCAAGGGGGAAAGTCTATACTGATTTTGTTCAAAGGGGGAAATTCTATACTGGGGCGCTTTTTCCGCCCAGGGGGGAAAGTCTAACCCGGGCCCGTTTTTCCGGGGGGAAAGTCTATGCGGGGGGAAAGTCTATGCTACAACACCGGTAACAAATTCAAAGGAATGAAATCATCTCATTCCAGTGGTATAAGCAGCGTCTGATGTATGACTCATACGGTGTAAGTTCAATAAATTAAATTGCAACTTAATATTCTTCTGTAATATCATTTTTCGTCAATATCAAAATAATTAATTACCTAATGATTTTAACGTGTAACATTTGTACATAAATATTCTGGTAATATAAGCTCTTATACATTCCAAAGTAAAATCAATTGACTAATGATTTTGATGTGTTGTTTTTGTACGTATTCTTCCTAATATTATCCTATGTAAATGTTTAATTAAATCGACTGCCTTCTGGTGTTTGTATTTGTTGATATCTGTTAAATAATTAATAACATGTATATTTAAATACTATTTATGTTCCTCTCAGCAGCTGCTTGATGGACAAACACCACCAAATGTTTTCCCATAGACTTCCATACAAACTTTAGCCCCTCTCACTGATACATATATTGAATTTCGGGCAAATGACCTTTTTGTCGTGAAAGTTCGAGATATTGGAAAACAAAAAATGCCAGAAAAAATATACCGTGCCGTTGCACTTTTACTTTCAATTTCCATTTGTTTACAACTAGGTGCGTTTGACACCAAATGAAAATCTCTAACCAAAGTGCATCCCTCCCTTCAAATTTTCACCTGTAACTCCTATATACCTCAAAGAAACCCAAGTCTTGATATGAGATTTTTATCAACTTTATTTCACTTGTCAAATACATAACAAGTCTTTTCTCTTATTGACCAATCACGCGCCAGCTAGCATTTTCTCCTCCGCACAACTTTGGGTGTCCAAAGTGTCTGCGCCCATGTATTTGTTTATGTAGGGGTTTTTCCTATAGAGTAAAAGAAACATTTGTAAAAAGTGGTCAATTTAGTAAATTTAGAACACATATCCATTGTTTATCTGACCTCTTGAATATTGGGACTGACAGTCTTACCTTAAGTACACCATTGGCTGTTACATTTCACACCCCAGTCAATCAGACCCACATCTGTGAAACAGAAAAGATGTCTATAAATTGAAGCATTTTTCTATTTTTCTTTCAAACTTTTGAAATAAAATGATTAATCTAGCATATGTTTTGCTTGACTTTCTTATTATCTCTAATAATTTCTCAAGGAAGATCATGTTAATCATTCAGGGTAGCAGGTACCCGTTATCAATGAAAAATGAAGAAAATCAGCAGGTTTTTGTAAGAAAAGCTGGGTTATGGAAAGAGTGAAAACTAATATAGATAAAATAATCAGTGGAAAGAATAGAGAATTATATCTAGTTCAATTGTACATAAGATTGAAAAAACATCCTATCAGCAGTGGGTTGCTGGCATCAGAAAATCAAATACATCCCCACTGAAAATTTTGTAATTTTGAAGGGGGGTGACCTACAGTTTAGTCAATTTTCATGAACATTTCATGTATTTGATGTTAAATATGTATATTCTCATAAAAGGCAAACATATTTATTTGCATATCATTTCTTATTATTGACCTAATTAATAAATTGATTAAATGCCAAGGGCAGATAAATCATATTGTCTGACTGGATAAAGTGCTCAATTGTAAGCAAAGTGCTTAAATAACTGCAGTTCTGAGGAAATTTATTTTCTAATAATCTATAAAAAGTTCTAAATAACTTAAATATTAAGAGATTAACTAGATTTTCTAAGAAAACAATACCTTGGAACTCTTAATGAAAGCAAAGGGATCATCCCGAGAGTATCCATGTGTTGTTCATTGTAAGAGGGTAGGGTTCATTAATCTCTTCCTTCTTGAGAATGCATCGCTGAAATACATTTTATTGTATTAAAACATACTGATAAATGCATCTAGTAGCTTATATCATAATTTTTTATTCTTAACACCATCTTTTGAATTTTTTTAAGCATTTGTGATGTAATACCTTTAAAATAATCATGTTAAAATAGAATTTACTCAGATAATTATTTTAAAAAATAAAAAAGAAAATGAAAAAAAAAAAATAACTGCAGATAAGCATGACTCTTGTTATTCAAATAAACCAGATTTTAACAAATTTCCCTCATTTTACAGCATGATTAGAGCACAAAATTACCCCCCCCCCTTTTCAGCAGAATATCAAGATTGGATATGGCAAGGTGGAGGGATATTCAGATGCCTTTTTCATAATTTTTTCAGTTATAATTTTGCATATTTATTGCATTTTCAATGTATTTTCTGCAAAAATATATTGTACTGTAATTTAAATTAAATTTCCTACTAGTAATTTCTAAGTTTCACCAAAAGTATAACTTTTATTTCAAGCCAGCACTGATTACATGACTGAAACTGGCTTTGCTGCTGGATTATGCCCCTTATGTAAAAACAAAGTAACCTAATTAGTAAATAGCAGTCAAATTTTGTTATAAATTATTCAATCAACTCTGATTAACACAAATTTGAAAGAGGATTAATCAATCTGTTCCAATGTCTACACTTATAAAATACATGGATTTAAATAAATTTCTCAAACTGCGAGGGGGATATTCATATGTTTTGTGTATTGATGATGCCGATAAATATTGATACTGCATTATTTACAATATTCACAGTAAATTTCGGTATAAATATTTATTTTAAGTTATTTACATGTACATTTATTGAAAATATGAGAGCTAGGGCACAAATTTTGGCATTTTTTCACTATGTGCAGTCCCCATTGTGAGCCCCAATTTACCCAAACCCTCTAATTTTTAAACAAATAGTCAAAACTAACTAAAATATATTCTCAATGCCAAAAAAATAGGAACCGATTGATTTTTTGGCTGTAATCAATTTTTATCCATGAAATCATACCTTTTCTATAGGACAAACACCACCAAATGTTTTCCCATAGACTTCCATACAAACTTTAGCCCCTCTCACTGATACATATATTGAATTTCGGGCAAATGACCTTTTTGTCGTGAAAGTTCGAGATATTGGAAAACAAAAAATGCCAGAAAAAATATACCGTGCCGTTGCACTTTTACTTTCAATTTCCATTTGTTTACAACTAGGTGTGTTTGACACCAAATGAAAATCTCTAACCAAAGTGCATCCCTCCCTTCAAATTTTTACCTGTAACTCCTATATACCTCAAAGAAACCCAAGTCTTGATATGAGATTTTTATCAACTTTATTTCACTTGTCAAATACATAACAAGTCTTTTCTCTTATTGACCAATCACGCGCCAGCTAGCATTTTCTCCTCCGCACAACTTCGGGTGTCCAAAATGTCTGCGCCCATGTATTTGTTTATGTAGGGGTTTTTCCTGATAAGTCATTTATGTAGCATTAAGTGTGTGGGTTGATCAAAAAGTAATGTCGCTGTGTCAATATCTTTAATATTTGGCGTCATATCATCAAATATAATGTATAGAAAGATACATAAATATAGCTTCGATCGTGTATATTTTCGTTGACTTGCGTGGAATAGTAGCAGTTTTATCGAAGTTGTAACATTACTTTCGGATTAACTCTCGTACTTTAACGAACGAATAGAAGCAAAATGAACGTTTTATATTTATATACATCAATTCCTCCTTAAAATATTTAGTTCTCCATTTTATCTGTAAGAAGTGGGCGAAACAGTTTTCTTTATGCTTGGCATATAAATAGTTTATAGTTGCTTAATGATGGATTAAAAGTCTTGAGGCCTCTTTTGAGAGTGATTAAACGTAGTTAAATACTGATGTTAAAATGGTTTAGGTGCTTAAAGATTATTTCAAGACAGAACTCAGTGTATTGGCAAACCGTATGATTTATGTCAGAGCAAAGTACCCGTAATTTAATGTCTGACTTCGATTTATTACCTTTTCGGAATATGCAAAAATCTTCTTCAAAAATTATGAGAAAAGGACTCTGTTTTACAATATTTCATATGAATTTAGCGCTAAACGTGTCTTAATTTTAGTTACAAGTGTCGGTAATTTTACGCGTTGACAAAAAGTTTAGAATTAGCAAGACAAAACTAAATACAGTAATACCCATATTGAGGTGTTTGCCTCTAAATGCACACTCAGTGATATATATTGAGATAACCTAGGAAAAAACCAAAATAATTCTATAACTCAAAAAGAACATGTATTTGACAAGTCGAAAATAAAATGCCCAGTGTATAGTGACTATGTGACCCATTAGCCTTTTTTATGTACATGTATTTCGTATTTGTAATTCATTACCAGTCTGAAATTAAAGAATTTAATCAATGTTCTAAATTGTATTATTTGGTTTTGATAAAAAGGAGAATATAAATTTTTGGCGCATGATTATCAACTTCTTACACTTATTTTCTCAACAACTAATAATATCATTTTAGTGAATAGCGTTCTTGATGAGCTTACATGCTGACGTTCAAAATTGAACAAATATTGCTATTTTCAGCATTTCGATATGTAAAAAACCTGCTCGAAAAGCCACAATCAATCGATTCTGTCACAACCCCTCCCCTCCCAACACACAATTTGCCTGTTTTTGGAAATACGCTTAGAAAGCAATTATTTAAAGCTATGTTAAAAGATTGTTTATTTATGTTAATTCAATTTCTTTCCTTGCACTAGTTCTTCATTTCATAGAACTTGCGTCACCCTACTACACTGTAGCATTAGTTTAACCATTATCATTTTGATTGAACATGGTATATACATCATAACATAGTCATAACATAGGCTATTTCTGTGGGAATTCATTGTGTGTTTTATTTGGATTATATTTCATGAAGTTGACATTATCTATGATAGTCGATAAGTACAAGTTTAGGTACAGTGTATAGATTGGGATAATATGTAAATATTGCATGTAGTTGAGAGTAACATTGAAAATTTTCACCCCAAGAAAACCATTGTCAACCGAGGCGCAGCCTCGGTTGACAATGGTTTTCTTGGGGTGAAAATTTTCAATGTTACACTCAGCTACATGCAATATTTATTATATTATACTGAATGTTTTAAACAAATACATATAACAGTGAACCGTGCGCGCATAAATTCTGCGCAGTCGCTATTTTTTTTTTAATATCACCCGTCGTCAACCAAGGTTGACTATTGCTACGCTGGAGGGTGCGGCTTCATTATTCAGCGGGTAATAGTGTTTTTTAACAAATGTTTCTCGATCATTCAAATTCAGCTAATTTACACGAAAGTATGTAATATTACAAACTGAAATGCAAATAGGGGACAAAATGTTTCTTGTTTTATTATACTCATCTAAAGGTATAAATGTAATGAAGGACTGGAGGCCATAACTGGGAATGTTCACAATATGACCTGCATCAAATTTAAAAGTCTGCATGCATAAGTGATAATTTAGATAGACTGACATTCTATTCATGAATTTGGGTCAGTCTACCTTCCTAGGATTAAGAATAAAAATCGTTCAAAGAGATGCACCATTAAAAGTGCATAGACAAAGATTTGAAGGTACTTTTTTCTGTATAATATCATGACTTATATGTTGTAATAGCATTTCACAAGAAAATATATAAAAAAAAAATCTTATTTCATCTAAAAGTTAATGAAACTTCATTTTTTTTTTGGACGGGTTTGATTGACACATCCTTGCACTTTTACAAATTTTAATTTTAGTCTTAATACTTAGAAAAAGTGGCAATCTTCTTGTGTATTAATGAAAAATATTAAAATTTTAATACAGAAAAATAATTATATTCAGAGTAGAAATGTTCGAAAGCAAAACTCCTTCACAAGTCTCGTCATACAGCGCTTAGTCTTATGTACAGAGTTTAGCAAATTGGACACACCCGTAAAACATACACAGTTTTTGTAAACAGGACACGAGCTCTATTATTGCTAGGTTAACGATTCAGCGGGTTTGTTCATTTGTTAAAGTCTACTCATCACAACTGCAAGGACTGACATTATACAAAGTACTCTGTGTATATGTTTTGCCTTCGAACATAGCTAATCTGAATTTCCTGTATTATAGTTTTACTATTCCTATGTATTAAGAATAAGATTAAATTTGTGAAAGCAAAAATTTTTATATGAAATATGATTTTTCATATACTAGATGAAATCCCGCGCATAGGCGGGAAGTTAGATTTATATAATTATATATATAGTTACTATTTCCAAAAAACATATTTTATAGTTGTAAATTGTAGATTTTATTTGACAAACTTCAGGCTTTTAGGAGGAAAAATAACTTTTTTTTCAAAATCTTGCATGAAGTAGATGTACGCCATTACCCCATCCCCCTTTTTGTAAAAAAAAAAAAAAAAAAAAAAAAAAAAAAAAACTCTGGGTAGAGCATGTAAGGGAAATACAACTTTTACCGATAAATTTATAAGAAAAACACAGGTGTTGTACAAATATATTATAGTCTTTCGATACATAAATACATTCACAACGGATAGTGCTAGCAGCGATTTACCAATATTTCACACAGGTACTTGTGGACAGGTCCCCCCCCCCCTCCCCTCCCCGATATTCAACCCCGGCGCTTATTGGACATATTTTTAAAACATTATATTTATTACACTTATTCATTATGTCTGCAATATGAAAAAATCGCCAAAACCCCAAAACAATCCCTCCTCAAAAAAAAAATAAAATACCCCACTATACATTATAAGGGAGAAAGGTATGCCACTCCGGTTTGTTTACGTTGTACCCCCTCTGGTCTTTCTGGGTTTAAAAACATGTTTTTATTTTATTTCAACCTAAATTGTCCATTCACATCGTCTTTACATATATCTCTGTCTTAGTGCATGCTATCGGATTAACTCTGCATCTCGTAAGAATCCCACAAAATCGAATTATCTCCGTTTAAGCAGTATTCCAGTCAGAACGTTGAAATTTCCCTAGGTAATCGCAACGGAAGTGCATAGAGAATGTTTCACTTATTAGGAAAACGTCCGAGAGAGTTTTGGACTGACGTAATACATTTGCTTTTACTTACAACGGATAAATGTATAGTGGGGTATTTTTTTTTGTGGAGCGATTGTTTTGGGGTTTGGACGATTTTTTCATATTGCACACCTGATGAATAAGTTTGATAAATATAATTTTTGAAAAATATATCCAATAAGCCCCGGGGTTGAATATCGGGGGGGGGGGGGGGTCCTGTCCACAAGTACCTGTGATATTTCAATGACCATTCGCGCAAAAGGTTTTTCTATGTTCATGCAGCTATATTTCCTTGTTTTCCTTATTAACCTCGGGCTCGATTATATATGATGTTCTAGACGTTTTCTTCAATATTGACATCGGTGAATGACGAAAATAATTTGCACATTTCGCTTTTTAATCGGTTATTACAACTTATTTCTTTTATATCATTTAATTCAAGTTTTAATTGAATAATTGAGTGATTATATTTTATGAAACAAAAAGACGATTGTTTCTTGTCAGTATCTTTAAAATTTGTCATTAGCTTAAATCCGCCACCCGAAAACGCCACCATACTCACGTTTATGCTGTTTTGTGACTGTTTACATAAAATTGAAGTAGACTTTTAATTTAATGTACGATACTTACTATCCGAGTGAAATCTGATTTTACGGACATCGTCTTGTATATTCAGAATCAACCGGACACAACCTTACACCAGAGCAAACCCTAAGCGGACCTCGGATTCGCTTCCCAGGTTTCGCTAGGGGGTCCTCTTTGGGTTCGCTTTAAAAAAGTTTGGGACCATTCTGGGTGCGCCTTGGGTTCGCTCGGAGTTCACCGGCGTTCACTTTCTAGGATCGCTTTACGCACTGTTTTACCCCGCTTTAATCTCGCTGCCAGTAAGACTGTACCCTTGTATAGTCCAATACAGTTATGGAATTGTGGAATCGATCATTGTTATTTTGGCAGCGACATGTATACACTGGACATGTATACAGTTACATTATTGAGAACACTGATAACTTTTCCAAAGGATGTATTCACTATGACAAAAGAATTGACCTATAGGAGAGAACAATTTCCTGGAAAAAGTTACATTTAAGAATTAATTTTTATATGTTGTTTTCTATTGTATATATGTTTAAATGTTTCAAATTTCTATTTTATATCTAGAATTTATTTCCTACAACTTTACAATAAACCTCCAAAATTGGCCGAAT